ATGTGATTCTTAATGTTTCTGCAAATTTGAAATTATATCACAATATAAAAGTTGAAATAAATACATTCAGACAAAAACTAAACCAAGAAAATTAGTCAACAGCAGACCCACATGAAAGCAAATACTAAGGAATAGAAAGGTGTTCTTCAGGCAGAAAAAATATATATACAAAATGGAAGTGGAGACAGCCCACAGAATGGGAAAAAATACTTGCCAACTGTGCATCTAACAAAGGCCTAACATCTAGGATCTATAAGGAATTCAAACATGCTCAAAAGAAAAGAACAAATAGCCCTATTAAAAAGTGGACAAAAGATATGAATAGACACTTCTCAAAAGACATAGAAGCAGCCAAAAGATACATGAAAAAATGCTCAGCCTTACCAATCATCAGAGAAATGCAAATCAAAACCACATTCAGATACTACTTAATTCCAGTAAAGATGGCCATCATTAATAAATCAAAAAACAAGAGATACTGGGAAAAGGTATGCTTCTATATTGTTGGTGGGAGTGCAAACTAGTCAAACCTTTATGGAAAATAGTGTGGCAATTTCTAAAGGAACTAGAAATTTGATTCAGCAATCCCCCTTCCAAGAATATACCCAGAGAAACATAAATCGTTCTGCAAAAGACACCTGCACATGCATGTTAATTGCTGCACTATTCACAATAGCAAAAATATGGAACCAACCCTACTGCCCATCAAAAGTGGATGATAAAGAAAATGTGCTACATTATACAGTCATAAAGAAGGACAAAATCATGGACTTCGCAGAAAATTGAATGGAATTGGAGACCATTATAGTTCACTAACTATATATATATAGAACTATATATAGTTCTATCCCAGAAACAAAGAAGCAAATACCACATGTTCTTACTTATGAATGGGACCTGAACATTAGTCACAATAGTACAAGGGAGGAATCTGCAGTCACTGGACACTGCCAGGGGACGGGGAGGGGAGTGGGGCATGTAACAACACAAAGCATACCTAAGCATATCTAGTCCTAAACCAGGGGAAGTGAGGATCAGTTGGAGGCCCAAACTTCACCTGTGGGTAGATTACTTATGTACCAAATCCTGACTTGTACCCCCATATCTCCATAATAAAATAAAGTTATAAAAATAAAGCTAGTATTACTATATAGAAAATAAATTATTACTATAAGAAAATGGCTGACAGTGGTGGGAAACTATAGGGGGGAGGGGAAAGGAGATGGGACTAACAGTAGTAAATGTCTGTCTGGGGATGGGGAGACACCTCTTATCAACAAGGGTACCTGAACGAAGCATATTTGTATACCTAACCCTTAACTGTACCCCACAATATCATAATAAAAAAATTGATAAAAAAATAAAAAATAAATTATTACTAGAAATACAGTGAATGGGATTCTTAAATGAAAGTATCAATCCACCCTACAGATATAACAGTTCTAAGTTTACATGCACCTGTCCCCAAAATCATGAAACAATATCTGAGAGAACTAAAAGGCAAATAGAAAATCCCATAATACTGGGATATTTTAACATATTTCTCTCAGTAACTTACCAGACTTACAGCTTATTTAATAAGCTGTAGACAATATAAGCAATGCAATTAACATACTGAACTTAAATATTAGATACTGTACCCAATATGTAGAATATATATTATTTTCAAGTATTCATAGAATATTTACTTAAACTGATCACATGCTTTAAAAAACAAATTTCAAGATTGAAACCACACAGAATATATTTTCTGACCAGACTGAAAATACACTAGATATAATAAAACAATAACTAGAAAATTCTCACATTTGAAATAGATATATCTCTACTCCATGGATAAAAGAGAAAATCACAATAGAAATTTTTAAATACCTGGAACTTAATTATAAGTGAAAATATGATATATCAAATTTTAAGATGTCATATTAAAGAGACAAGCAGGGATAGCTACATAATTTGCCAAGCCTTATGCAAAATAAAAATGCATGACTCTTTGTTCACACATCAGAGGGAAAAGTCCCATTAAAGATATTAATTCATAAAGCTTTCTGCTTTCTGACACATTTTGTCTCATGATGTTTTACATTTTCTATTTAATGTCATTTAAAGATGGAACTTCAGCCGGGTTCGGTGGCTCAGCCTGCAATCCCGCGCCTTGGGAGGCTGAGGTGAGTGGATTGCCTAAGCCCGCAGGTTCGAGACCCGCCTGGGCAACTTGGCAAGACCTCATCTCTACAATAAGTAAAAAAATAGCCGGGTGTGGTAGCGCGCACCTGTAGTTCCCGCTACTTGGAAGGTTGAGGTGGAAGGATTGCCGGAGCCCAGCAAGGTCGAGGCTGCAGTGGCCGGGAGCAGCCGCTGCACTCCAGTCTGGGTGACAGAGTGAGACTCCAACTTAAAAAAATAAATAAATAAAAAATAAAGATGGAACTTCAGATATGATTGCACGTATTTCCTCTGTTCATGTGCATGCTCTGTTGTCCCATCAGATTTCACTTAAAAACATACAAAATATAATGATAAAATTTAAAATGTCAGGATGACAACAGCATTAAAGCACAAGTACTTCTGAGTATGGGGCCCTGTGTAACTGCCCAGGTATCACTTCCGTGAAGGTAGCCTTGGCCTTAAGTGCATATCTTAGAAAGGATAAAAGACTGATAAATCAATGTAAATCTAAGCATCCAACTCAAGAAGTTAGAAAAACGGCATAAAAACTACCATACAACTCAGCAATCTCTCTTTTGAATATATACTTAAAAGAAATGAAATCACTTTGTAATAATATCCACACTCCCATGTTCATCGCAGCATTATTTACAATAGCCAAGATATAGTAGAAACAAGTGTTTGTTGATGGATGAATGGATAATTGTGATATTTCTGTATATATATGTATATACATGCACACACACACATACCAAATGGAATATTATTCAGCCTTTAAAGAGGAGATGTGATTTGCAACAACATGGATAAACCTAGAGGGCATTATGCTAAGTGATATAAGCCAGAAACAGAAAGAGAAGTACTATATTATCACACTTCTATGTAGAATCTAAGCCAAAAAGTTGAACCCATAGGAGTAGAGAGTAGAATGGTGGCTGCTAGGAACTAGTGGAGGCAGGGGAGAGAGCAGAATGGGAAGATGTTGATGCAAGGGTACAAAGTTGTACAGTTGTTCCTTGTTATTTGTGGAAGATTGGTTGCAGGATCCTCAAGGTACACCAAAATCCACACATACTCAAGTTCCACAGTCAGCCCTGAGAAACTGTTGTATACAAAAAGTTAGTCCTCCATATACACAAGTTTTATATCCCATAAATACTGTATTTTGGATCTGCATTTGGTTGAAGAAAAATTCGAGTATAAGTTCAAACCCATGTTGTTCAAGGGTCAACTGTAGCTATGCAGGATGCTTAAGTCTAGAGATCTAATGTTCAGCATGAGGACTATAGTTAATAATATTGTATTGTACACTAGAAATTTTTTGAGAGTAGATTTTATGTACTCTGAACATGCACACTATGTGAGATGATAAATACGTTAATTTGAATATGAATTTGTTAATTTGTTTGACTATAGGAATCCCTTCACTATATATATAATATATAAACACCATGTTGTATACCTTAAATTTATGTAATAAAAGAAAAAATCAAATTATCATCTTAATACATGTAGAAAAAGCATTTAGTAAACTTCAAATGAAACTCTCCTTCATCTCCTTCATCTGATGAAGGAAATCTCATCCTTTGGGCCCAAGAGTCTCTTGCCCTATTCTGAGACACCTTTCTAAACTACATACTACTATATATATATATGGCCTAAGGGAAAAAGCATGGGGAAAGCATCAGGAGTGTTGGAGAAGGGTTTCAAGTTACACTAGAATAGTAAGGGAAGGCATCAGTGAGAAAATGACCTTTGATTCAAGAAGAGATGAGACAACTAGATATACAGATGCTTGGGAGAAGAGAATTCCAGACAGAAGAAGTCATCAGTGCAAAGGTCCTAAGGGAAAAAAATGTCTAGTGTGTGTCAGAGGCACCACCAATGTGGCTGGAACAGACTAATAAGGAAAGATGTAGGATATGAGGTCAGAGAAGTAATAAGGGTCTGAATCATGTAAGGGTAAGGTTTTATAAAGCCATTGTAATTACTTGACTTTTACTTAACATTATAGGAGATGGATTGGAGAGAGGGTTTTGATGGAAAGAATGACATGGTCCAATTTATGAATTAACAAAATCTCATTCTGACTGTTGTATTGAAAATAGACCAAAAGATAACAATGGTAGAAGCAGGGAGATATCAGTTACATGGATAATGTAATAATCAAGATGAGAAATTCTCTAAGCTTAAAGCAAGGAGGTAGTAATAGTCAAAAAGAAATAAATTAGGTTTCCTTCTCCATCTCCCTATCAAATTCCATACCATTTCTGAAAAGCCTTGCTGAATAACCAAAGGGAACAGTTTTACAATAACATTTCTCATCCAGTATAAAAAGTAACACTGCCCCTTAAATGCTTAATCTTTTTATTCTCCATGTTATAAAATCTCTAACTCTTCCCTCAGGTATCAGTTTCCTAATTAAGCACTGCACCAATGGCCTACTTTCTAAATTTTAATAGTACACTTGTTTGCCAACAGTAATTCAGGAACTCAGAAGAGTCAAAATATTTTTGTGAAGCTGCTATTAGGTAAGGATGGGTATTGAAAGTACTGTCAGGACCATTTCTGAATTAAGGTAAGGCTAAATAAAAGGAAAGTGCACTGGTGTGCAATTACTTCGCTAGTTTCCTTTAAAATCCAGCACATGGGGGGAGTGAGATGGGATTAACAGTAGCAAATATCTGTCTGGGGATGGGAAAACACCTCTTATCAACAGAGTGCCTGAATGAAACGTAATTGTACACCTAACCCTTAACTGTACCCCACAAAACCATAATAAGAAATATTGATTAATTTTTTAAAAAATCCAGCACACGGGCATCGTGCGAGTCCGTAGCGGTGGGGGTGGCAGGCGAAGCGGTGGCAGCTGGGAGAGGGTTCCGGGAAGATGGTGCTGATTAAGGAATTTCATGTGGTTTTGCCATGTTCTGTTCAGGAGTATCAGGTTGGGCAGCTTTACTCTGTCGCAGAACCTAGTAAGAATGAGACTGGTGGTGGAGGGGGAATCGAAGTCTTAAAGAATGAACCTTATGAGAAGGATGGAGAAAAGAGACAGCATACACACAAAATTTATCACCTAAAGAGCAAAGTTCCTGCATTCGTGCGGATGATTGCTCCCGAGGGCTCCTTGGTGTTTCATGAGAAAGCCTGGAATGCATACCCCTACTGTAGAACAATTGTGACAAATGAATATATGAAAGATGATTTCTTCATTAAAATTGAAACATGGCACAAACCAGACTTGGGAACATTAGAAAATGTACATGGTTTAGATCCAAGCACATGGAAAACTGTTGAAATTGTTCACATAGATATTGCAGATTGAAATCAAGTTGAACCAGCCAACTACAAAGCTGATGAAGACCCTGCATTATTCCAGTCAGTCAAGACCAAGAGAGGCCCCTTGGGACCCAACTGGAAGAAGGAGCTGGCCAGCAGCCCGGACTGTCCTCAGATGTGTGCCTATAAGCTGGTGACCATCAAATTCAAGTGGTGGGGACGGCAAAGCAAAGTAGAAAACTTCATTCGGAAGTAAGAGAAAAGGATATTTACAAACTTTCATTGCCAGCTTTTTTGTTGGATTGACAAATGGATCGATCTGACAATGGAAGATATTAGGAGAATGGAAGATGAGACTCAAAAAGAACTAGAAACGATGCGTAAGAAGGGTTCTGTTCGAGGCACGTCGGCTGCTGATGTCTAGGTGAATCCCCTGTAGGGTCAGAGACAATATCAAACTGTTTACGTAATCAAGGTCAAGTGAGGGGAACAACTGCAGCCAGTGATGAGTGAAGAAGAATCTGACCAGTATCTCGCAGTGTTGATGTTTCCTAGACTGTGCTTGTGATAATGTGCGCACATGCACAGCTTCCCAGCCATGTGTCTATATATGTATATATGTGTGTGTGTGTGTGTCTGTAGCTGTATATAAAATGCATGTAGAGCTGCAGACCTAGATACACGCACTGGTGTATATATGTACGTACAAACATACTGAAGGGATTAGTACAATTTCTCCAAAGTACTGTGCGTATCTTCAAGAATGCAAAAGAAAATATTTTCAATATATATACCTGGAACAGATTTTAATAATTATCAGAGAAATATCATTAATGGACAAATTGACTGCAATGTATTAATAGCTGGTATGTTTCATAAATGTCAAGTTGTGGACCAATATATATAGCCTTTTATGTGGTTGTTCTTTTAAATCAATCTCTTATAAATTTTTATTTTAATCCCATCAGCAGCAGACTCCCACAGAAAAATTTCTTCAGAACTTTTTAGTATTCCAGTGAATCTGGAATGTAAACTTTGAATGTATTTATAACTATTTCTTTCTGAATGGTCATTATCTTGCAGCCAAATTTGACAAAAAGTAAGAATTAAAGTTACAGACCAGTTTTTACTTGTTTGCCTTGAGGGAAAATTCTTTTAAAAATTTTTTTGATTTTTATTGGATTTTTGTATTTTAAATTTCAGATATTTTTCTACATCAAACCTAGCAAAAATTGAGATAATGGTTTGTGTTTTGTAATAAACACCAGACAATTTTCAGGCTCCTGGTAGGCAAACAAATAAACTGATGAAGAAATTAGTCTTTATAGTGCTGTAGCCTGTGCAAAAAATTGAAAGTGTGGCACATCCACGGAGTCTTGTTTCGAGAATGACTTTTCTGGAGTTACAGCTTGGAAACTATGCAAGTGGTCCAGATTTCTCACAGCTTACACGATACAATATAGATAGTGATAGTGTTTTGCTCTTTTTGTGTTGAAATATGCTTCAAGTGGGAGATGCTGACTTTGAGATAGGAATTTAAGATGCAGCATGAGTCTTGCCTGCCCGTGGTTAGAAGGCCCTGCCTAGGGACTGGTGGACCTTCAACTCTGGGATGTGCTCTCAAGTAGGAATATATCCTGAATGGGCATCGTGAGAAAGGTGGTAAGAAGTTACTGACACTTTTTTTTTTAAAGGAAGGAACAATATCATCAGCTTTCTCTGTCCTAATCCAGTTTTTTTCTTGTCAGCCCTGGAAGCTCGAATGGAATGATATTATTGAAGCCTTCAGGTCACAAACTGTCTTTTTTAACCTCACGTTCCTCCTAAAATGCTCCAGCCCCTGCAGTCAAATCATGTTAGTAATCTGATTTCCTGACAGTCCTGCCCTCCCTGCTCCTTGGTTTCTCACACGTCTTGTGTCCTCACTGGAGTGATTGCAGTGAATCAGACAGGGAAGGATGTTGAGGATCACCACTGCATTGTGAGACCCTGTCGTCCTCAGCAACAAACCCCACATTTCATATATCCTTTGTGTACTCAGGATAAAGACTGATGTTTACTCTCTAGACACTGTTGTAAGATAGGTTTTGTCAGAGCATAATCATTGTCTACAAAGTGTTTGGTGCGAGGAAGATCATTGCTAATTTTGTGAAACGACGAGTCTAGCCCTCTCCTTTTAATGAATTTAACTCTCGCTGGCATCTGTAGCATCATTGGGAGCTTGGGTGCACATGGAATGAAAGCCCGGGGCGGGGATGTTAATGTTTTTCTAACAACTGTGGAGATTTGAGGGAATGTGTGATGAATGTAAAATACCTAGTTTACTTGGCAGTCTCTTGTGTAAATTACAGTAAAATAAAGTAAATGAAATTTAAATAAAAAATAAATTGATCACAAAAAAAAAAATCCAGCACACTTAGATCTCCATTATCTCACTAAGTCTTGGATTTTCATCACTCTAGAAACCATAACATAGCCATGTGTTAGTCTAATCCTAGATTACATTTCAAGTCAGTAATATTAGGGAACTATGATAAGTGGCATTAATGTCATAAACAAACCAGTAATACAGATCATCTAATTCACAGAATCTCTTCCAGGAAAACTGTAGTACAAGTTACTATGCTGGGTTAATTTATGGGGAAGAAAGAGAAAGAAAAAGAAAATGTTTCTCCTCTGATATAAGTAGGATAATCCATGTTTGAATGGCAAGAAAAAAGTAAGATTAAAAATCCCATACCAGGGCAGGGCGGGGGTGGGATTAGCAGTAGGGGAAACTGTTGGGGGGTGGGGAACATACTTCATCAACAAGAGTACCTCCATAAAGAACATTTGTCTACCTAACCCTGAGTTGTAACTCACATATTTAAAATTTTTTAAAATTTTTAAATCCCATGCCAGCACAAAAAATAATTTTTCTAAATATTAAAAAATGTTAAAAAAATTAGCAACCCATGGTCACATGTGGGCTGAAAGCATATTGTATATGGCCCAAATCTTAATTTAGAATTCAGGGCATTTCACATTAAAAATACAATTGCTAGCGTCTTTTAAAATACTATAAACAAACCACACAGACCATATTCCCCCATGACAAAAAATGTAGAGACAAGTAATGGTTGTCCCAGTCAAGCAGGGCAATTTCTTTCAATTAGTCTATTTCAACCACTAAAATTGGAAAACAAGCAATCCTAGTTCAAATTTAGATTAGAGACCAGATATCTTGGTTTTTCTTTTAGCTTCTCTATTAGCCAAAATAATGTTGGGGTAAAAGTTAGCAACTCTGAACCTCAGTTTCCCCATTTAAAAAAGTATGAAATGAACGCAAATCCCTCTCACCTATTCTATCTTCCTAGAAAATGCTAATAAGTTCACAGCCCCACACAAATAAATAGGAAAAGAATTACTCAACAAATGGTGCTAAAGGATAAGGCCAACTTAGATTCAAATTTCATGTCATATGCCAATTAAACTCCAAATAGAAAAGGATATACATGATAAAAATTCATATTAAAAATGAGAAGAAAATAAATATTTGAATGGTCTCCCCAAATGGTAAAGAATTTTGTAAATTTAAAAGCAATGGAATAAATCACAAAGGAAAACATTGAAAAACTTTCTATATGAGAAAGAAAACCAATATGCATCAAAATATTAATGAATTTACAAGTCAAATGTAAATGGAGAAAAACACAACAAAAATAAAAAGCAGGTTCTATATCATACCCCCAATTTGACAGCATATCTCTCTCTCTAAGGCAGGCAAAATGTTTAAATTCATGATCCTGATAAACCATGTGACTTCTCCTGATAAACCACGTGACTTACTGAAGACCTGAGTAACTAACTACCCAATAGCATCAACTCTGTATATTAAGCAACTCCATGGAGTAGGCAGGACAGGAGTTATTACTCTAATTTTTCAAATGAGAAAACTGAGGAACAGAGAAGCTAGAAGAGTTTGCAAAGGCATAACAAGTAGTAACTGTTAAGTCAATTGAACTCAGCTGAGGTTCTACCTCAGTAGAGCTACCTGTGAAATGAGGACTTTCGATTAGATCCCTGGTTATCAAAGTGCAGTGCCAAGACAATCAGCACCAGCATCCCATGGGAAATTGTTGAAATGCAAAATCTCAGGCCCCACCTAGACCCAGAGAGTTCTCACCTCTGGGGTAGGGCTCAGCAATCTATGGTCTAACAAGCCCTCCAGGTGATTATTATACACACTCAAATTTGAAAAGCCACTGCCTTCTATGGTCTTTACAAGTAAGGATTATCTACACAAGTAGGCTGCATACATGTGAAGTTTGGGCCTCCAACTGGGCCTCACTTCCCCTGGTAAAGGACCAGGTATCCTTTGTGTTATTATGTGTCCCCCTTCTTCCCTCCCCTGGTAGTGCCCAGCAACTGCCAATCCCTCCTTTTTGCTAATGTGATTAATGTTCAGGTCCCATTTATGAATGAAAATATGGGGTATTCACTTCTTTGTTTCTATGATAGATCACTAACTATGGTGGTCTCCAACTCCTTCCAATTTGCTGCGATGTCCATGATTGTGTTCTTTATTGCTATGTAATACTCCATCATGTATATGTACCACATTTTCTTTATCCAATCCACTTTCAACAGGCAGTAGGGTTGGTCACATCTTTTTCCTATTGTAAATAGTGCAGCTATAAACATATGGGTGTAGAGGTCTTTTTTGTAGAATTATTGATTTACATCTGGGTACATTCCCAGGAGAATTACTGGATCGTATGAAAGGTCAATTTTTAGTTCTTTTAGGAATCACCACACTGCTTTCCTTAGAACTTGAACTAGGCTGCATTCCCACCAACATTGTAAAGGCATTCCCTTTTCTCCACACCTGCACCAGGATCTGTTGTTCTCTGATTTATTAATGATGGCCATCCTTAGTGAAGTTAGATGGTATCTAATCGTAGATTTGCATTTCTCTGATTAGTGAGGCTGAGCATTTTTCATTTATCTGTTGGCTGCTTGTAGTCTTCTTTTGAAAAGTGTCTATTTATGTCATTTGCCCACTTTTAAATAGTATTGTTTGTTTGTTTGTTTGTTTTCCTTTCAGTTCGTTTGAATTCCTTGTAGATCCTGGAGATTAGGCCTTTGTCAGAGACATAAATTGCAAACATTTTTTCCCATTCTGTAGGTTGTCTCTCCACTCTCTTGATGGTTTATTTTGCTGTGCAAGAGCTTTTAAGTTTAATGAGGTTCCACTTGTCTAGTTTAACTTTTATGACATTTGACTTTAGGGATTTGGTCAAGAATTGATTGCCCACTCTGATGTGCATACGAGTGTTTCCTGCGTTTTCTTCTAGGATTCTTATAGTTTGAGGTTTTATGTTTAGGTCTTTGATTCACTTAGAGTTGATTTTCTTTATATGGAGATAGGTTGGGGCCCAGTTTCATTTTTCTGCATGTGGTCAACCAATTTTCCTAGCAC